CTCTTGCTTCCTTATTACACAAATACCCCTCAACTCGTCTACATTATCAAAGGTTCGATACGTCACCGTTTTCCTTTTTTTTTTCCTTCATTTTTTCATTATTTTATTCTTGATCTCACACAGTGTGTGTGTGTGTGTATGTATAGGAAGTGGAATCCATGGGACTGTGATTCCGGGATGTGCGGAGACATATGAATCGGAATCAAGCTACGAAGAAGGCGGCAGCCAGAGTAAGGGGAGGAGGAGCGACCGCCACCAGAAGCTCCGGCGGTTCCGCAGCGGCGATATCCTCGCGCTGCCGCAGGGCATCACCCACTGGGCTTACAACGACGGCGACACCCCTATTATCAGCGTCTCCATCCTCGACGTGGCCAACGAAGGCAACCAGCTGGATCTGAACTTCAGGGTATATTAGTAATTTCTCATTATTGACCAACACGACGTCGTCTTATTATATAAATTTCCTCAGTCTTATTATATAAATTTCCTCAAATCCCTAAATTGTTAAAAATTGCAGAAATTCTGAAAACGACGCCGTTTTAATGTAAATTTACTCGAATCCCTAAAATTGAGAAAATTTGCAGAAATTCTTCTTGGCGGGAAGCTCACGAGAAGGCGGGCAGAGCGAGGAGGGAGGCCGCCGCCGCCAGGAGGGAGGAAGCCGCCGCGGCCGCGAAGAGGAAGGCGAGCGTGGTCAACGGATGAGGAACATCTTCAACGGATTCGACGAGGAGATACTGTCGGAGATATTCAACGTGGATTCGGAGATCGTGAGGAAGTTGCAGGCGAAGGAGGACAACAGGGGTTTCATCGTCAGGGCGGAGAAGCTGGATCTGGTGTTGCCGGAGTGGGGGAGAGAGGAGCAGCAGAGAGGAGAGAGAAGAAGGGAAGGCGGCGGCGGATACAACAATGGGATTGAGGAAACTCTGTGCTCGATGAAGATAAGGCAGAACATCGGCCACCCAACTAGGGCCGACGAGTACAACCCACGCGGCGGCCGCCTGAGCTCACTCAACAGCCAGACTCTCCCCATCCTCAGCTTCCTCCGCCTCAGCGCCGAGAGAGGTGTTCTCTACAAGGTACAAATAACACATTTGAGTTTTAGTCCCTCAAGTTTGCACTAATTACACATTTAATCCTTCATGTTCACAAAGAACACAATTGAGTTTTAGTCCCTCACGTTTGCACTAATTTTACATTTGACCCTTCATGTTCATAAAGATCACATTTGGTCCATCATATTTCA